AGCCTAAAGGGTTTGAGGATCCTGATTTTCCTAATCACGTGTGCAGGTTACACAAGTCCATCTATGGACTGAAACAAGCCCCTAGAGCTTGGTTCTTGAGATTGTCCCAAGCCTTACTTGCTCTCGGGTTCAATGGCTCAAAAATTGATTCATCACTTTTCGCATTCCACCATAACAACATCTCTATTTTTGTACTCATTTATGTTGATGATAGCATAGTTACAAGCAATACTTCCTCATCTATTGATCATCTCATCAATCAACTTGGTACTGATTTTGCTGTGAAGGACCTTAGGCCTCTATCTTATTTTCTCGGTATTCAGGTCACAAGTACCTCAAAAGGGCTCCATCTCAGTCAAGGAAAATATGCCATTGACTTATTACATCGCACCAAGATAGCTGGGGCAAAACCAGCTTCTACACCGTACACCTCTGGAACTAAACTCTTAAGATTTTCGAGGGACCCTCTCACTGATCCAGCTGAATATAGAACATTGGTGGGTTCTTTACAATATCTTACACTTACCAGGCCTGATCTCTCCTATAGTGTGAATCAACTTTGTCAATTTCTCCATTGTCCAACCACTGACCATTTGGTGGCAGCTAAACGAGTCTTGAGATACATAAAGGGTACTTTACACTTTGGACTCAACTTCAGCAAGGTTACACTTCATCTTAATGGTTATTGTGACTCGGATTGGGCAGGTTCTCCAGACGATAGGAAGTCCACCTCCGGCTATTGTATATATCTTGGACCATGTCTTATATCCTGGTCAGCTAAGAAACAACCAGTTGTAGCCAGATCAAGTACTGAAGCAGAGTATAGATCTATGGCTTTCACAGTGGCTGAACTTTACTGGATCTGAATGCTCTTACAAGAACTCCACATGCCACTCTTGAATGCTCCCTGCTTATGGGTGGATAATGTGGGTGCTCTAGCTCTCTCTTCCAATCCAGTCTTTCATGCTCGTACTAAACAAATCGAAGTAGATTACCACTTCATTCGGGAAAAGATCTTCAATAAAGATATCCAAGCTAGATATATTTCCACTGCTGCCCAACCATCTGACATCTTCACCAAAGGTTTAACTTCATCTCGGTTTCTGTTTCTTTGTGACAAGTTGATGCTTCGTGACCTCCCCATCAACTTGAAGGGGGATGTTAGAGATAACTGTTCCAATGTTTCTGTTGCACCAGATCCAGCCAAATCTTCATGCAGATCTACTCCTGTTATCTAATCTGTTAGTCACTTAGTTTGTTTTTCATTTGTTAGTTTGTTATTTATTTAAACTTCTATTCAGATAATTAGTTAGCTATTTAAACTTTTGAGTTCTTGAGCTTATCTGTAGATGTATTTCAAATACCTTGTAAACTTCTATATATATCAATACACACGAGAGAGCTGGTAATCAATTGAAACCAGACTTATTTTCACTTCTGACTGAACCATCAATTGAACAAAACATAAAGAGTCACGATAATGTTCACAATGAGCCTATGGAATCTAGTTCAAGACAAACATATGTTAGGCTTAACTTGAGTAGTTTTCCTGCATATCCTGGATTGAGGATTAAAATTTTAGAATATCATTCTAATGATATAAACAAAGTGAGAAATGCATACTTGCAAAAATGACCCTACCAACCACACAATCATAATTTTAAAAAGTGAGCAATTGAGAATTTAATGCGTCGTTTTAATCCCATTTGGTTTAGAGAATATGCAAATTGGTTGGAGTATAGTGTAGAAAGGAGGGTGTTTTTGTTTGTGTTGTTATCTTTTTAGACATGAAATTAGCATTGATATTACATATTGCAATTGCAAGTGTTGAAAGAGCATTTTCTGCAATAAAGATTGTGAAAAATCGATTATGGAATCGAATGGGAGATCAATTGTTAAATGATTGTCTTATTACATATATTGAGAGAGAGATTGATGGAATTGTCAATGAAGCAATTATGCAACGTTTTCAGAATATGAAAAATCATGGAGGACAATTGTAGAATTGATAATTCGGTATATATAACTTTTAAAAGTACATTTTTTATGTTTATTACAACAATATATATTTTATTATAAATTTATCAACTTTGATGTTTTGAACCCACTGACTCAGAATTCTGGCTACGTCTTTGATTAGCCAGGTAACTTCTAGTTGCTAATTTTTGTTAATAATGAACTCCATTATTAGTATAAGAATTAACCTTAGGAAAGGAAATTACAGTTGGTTTATGTATCAGTTAATTGTGATTGGCTACAATGTCAAAGCCAATATTTCACTTAATTGTTTAACTAATAATAGCCAATATTATGTTTCAAAAAATTATGAAAGCCAAGTTATCATCAGAGTAAAATCACTGCTCAATTAGTAGAAGATTCAATCACCTATACTGCAGCCATGGAAAAGCTCGTTTCAATCTGTATATTGGGCTGATCTCCCATAGGCCCAAATTTCTATTGCATGAATTCATAACTCTGTACTGTAAGGGTGTGTTTGGTTGAGGGTAGCAGGGGATTATTGAGATAATGTTATATTATATTACTTAATTATTATGTTTAATTATCAAGTAATATAAGATTCTGGTAATCTTCCAAAACCAATAATAATTATTGTTGGTAATATAAGAGGTAATCTGATTACTTCTATTTTCTTAGGTATTTTAAGATTATTTAAAAATCTTATTTTTCCTACAATTTTACCCCTTATTAATAAAAATTTTGGACAAAAATACCCTTCTTTTAAAATTAATTTACATGAGCCTACCATTACAATTTTACCCCTAATTAATTAACTTTTTGGACATTAATGCCCTTGTATTTAAAACAAATTTCAGCCCACCAAAACTACCACCATCAACCATTTTCATCGGCAACCAATGGTTGGTGTCGATCTGGCCAGATTTCTAGCCGAAAATGGCAAGATAGTGAAAAATCTGTTTTGGCCATTTTCAGCCAGATCGACGCATGATCGGCCTAATCCGACCAACCGTGCACCGTTTGGTTATCGATGACTGACGGTGGAGGCCGTAGTGGCTGGGTGGGTAGGGATGTCTTTGTTGATTTTTAAACTTCTATTATGGGGCTGTTTTAGCTAAATTTTTAAATGTAGAGGATTATAAATTAATAATCTAAATAATAATAATATAATATTTAAAAAGAAGACAATTCAGTAATTTAAATAACATACCCACCAATTTATACCTCCCAACCAAACACATTAATATAACATTCCTAGTAATCTTTCAAGGTAAAACACTCCATTAATACAATATTCTCTTAACCAAACATACCCTAAGTAGTTGTTATGCTTAAAAAATCAGAGCTAACATAAGTTTACATCAACAAGTACCAATCAGAGTTCAGGAAGACTTTGCGCCATCCAGGAGTTGCCATGCCACCCCAAGACAAAAAGAATACAGTTGTCATCAACTTAGCGGATTCAGGTTTTGTCTATAAGTGACTGAGGACTACATACCTGTCCAAACCCCAGATAATTTGATGATATTTCCTAAGTTATCAACCAATGGGAGGAAAGGAAAGACTTGCACGACACCTATCCACTTGTAGATTTGTAATCATTATCTTAAATTCAGTTACTATCAATAGAGGACTCCCTCTCTCATTTTTTATTTCTGATTCTGATTATAATCTCTATTTTCATAGCAAAGATAACCTACGAAAAAGAAACTGACTTGATATTCTCTCTAAATACTCAGTTAATGATCCTCTGCTCGTTGTTCGTTATACGCGACCTCTTATAAACTCTCACATATAAAAAAAACAGTGAACGTAAGAATCGCTTTAAGCATCCGAACTACTTTAAAAATCATCTCTCTCATTTATTATTCAGTCTTTGCATTCAATTATACTGATTAGCCTTGTCTTGACTCTTGAATCAATCATATCACGTGTAATTTCTAAGAACAACTTAACACTTTGCATATGCGAGTCGTCGGTGTCAAAATCACGCATCAACGGTAGTGAATAAAATTGGTAACACCGTTGATAAAATTGGTAACTTCCCTAGTAATTGCATAAGAATATTCCTGATTCCAGACATTTCCTAGAATCTAATCCAATCCAAATCAGGTTTGAAGTTGTGAGACAAGCGTTTCTTGAATTATCAGTAGAAAATTTGACTAATTCTTATACGAAATAGCTATATTAATTTCTTTTTTGGCTGTTTGTTTGTGTTATTATTCTCTTTGCAGTTTGCAGTATGATTTTAAGACAATTTAATACTAGTAAATTCAATCATCTTCAAATATTATATTGAAGTTTCCTAATAGGTATCTTTAGCACACTATGATATAGTGGGAATTTGATTATCCCTTGACGCGACTTATATATGGAAGACTTAAATATAATTAAAAAAAGGGAATATACAAGAAATATACCTTAAAAGGAAAAGATACTTTCAAGTAAAACAAATATATCCATATTAAAGTTGGACAATAGAGCACCACCATTAGCGGTAAACCCAGAGATTAAAACAAAGTTCGTTACTTGACAGGATCCGCTAATTTCGAACAGAAAATTACTGGAAACCTGTTTCCAATTTTTTTAACTACTTCTTTATTTATTTATGCTCGCATCGAATATATCTTCTCAATAACCTCTAGATAGTTTGACGGTTCGTTCGAAACTCTTGAATATATTATTCAAGAGGTCTTGAGTTCGAATTCTCGTAACTATTAATAAGGGATAATTACTAAAGACTTATCTGACTATTAACTTCAGGATCCTAAAAATTAATTGAAATACGTGCAAACTAATTTGGACGTCCCAGATTCCCACCAAAAAAAATAAAAAAGAATATACCTTCTCAGTCACACATGGTAACGATAAATAGGGCTATTCAAACCTTCGTCTAATCAAAGGCTACAAGCAAATATTCATCAGTATAGTGACTTTCACAGAGATTGACCTTCACCCTTGTCACCCATTTTCTTTCTAAATTTTCTGGTTGATTTTGTCTCCTTTCCCACAAAGAAGAGACCATGGTTTTGCCTGAAACAGCAATAGGTGCGCTTCTGTCAGCTTCCCTTCAAGTGCTGTTTGACAGACTAGCTTCTCATCAGCTTCTTGAATTCTTCCGGAGTAGGGAATGCGATGAAACTCTCTTGCACAGGCTGGAGACAGTACTGCTCTCAGTTCTCGCTGTACTTAGTGATGCAGAGGAGAAGCAAATCACTAACTCAATCGTAAAACGGTGGGTTAATGAGCTTAAAGATGCTGTCTACCGTGCTGAGGACTTTCTTGATGAGATGTTTACTAATAATTTACAACGTCAAATGGAAAGCGAATCTCGAGGAATCAACAAACAGGTCCAAAGCAGGAATTCCAGGCTTAAAGACATAATTTCGAGGCTGGAACATGTGGCAAATACCAAAGATGGTCTTGGTCTGAAAGAAAGCACTCTTGGTGTAAATTCATTTCCAAGATGGCCATCCACATCTTTGGTAGATGAATCTAAAGTGTTCGGTAGACATGATGATAAACAGAAGATTAAGAAACTTTTGTTATCGGACTGTACTGATCCAAATGAACGGGAGATTCCGGTAACAGCAATTGTTGGGGTGGGTGGAGTCGGCAAGACAACGCTTGCTCAACTTCTGTTCAACGACCCTGACGTAAAGGAGCATTTTTCCACAGGAGTATGGGTTCATGTTTCTGAGAACTTTGATGTGTTTAAGATAACCGAGACCATTTTTGAGCCGGGGACTTGTCATTCGCAGTGTAAGATCACTGATCTAAATGTACTCCAAGTCAAGCTGAAGGAGAAACTGGCAGGAAAAAGATTTCTGCTCATTTTAGATGATGTCTGGAATGAAAATTTCCTGAATTGGGATGTCCTAAAGAAACCCTTTGGAGACGGAGACGTCAGAAGTCGAATTATTGTGACAACTCGTAGCCAAAGTGTTGCATCAATCATGCATTCCGTTCATGTTCATCCTCTTCAACCATTATCTGATGAAGATTGCTTGTTGGTGTTCGAAAAATTTGCATTTAGAAGTGCAAACATCAGGCCACCACAAAACCTGCGGAAGATCGGTGAACAGATAGTGAAGAAGTGCAGAGGTCTGCCTTTAGCTGCAAAAACATTGGGGGGTTTATTGTGCACTAAAGGCGATCAAACCAGTGAGTGGAATAAAATTTTAAAGAGTAACATATGGGATCTTTCAATTAATGAGAGCGATATACTTCCTTCTTTGATGTTGAGCTACTACTATCTCCCTCCGTATTTGAAACAGTGCTTTGCTTACTGTTCAATATTTCCAAAAGGTTATGCATTTGAAAAAGAAAAGTTAGTTCTTTTATGGATGGCACAAGGATTCTTGCAGCAGCCAACAAGTGAGAAAAGAATGGAAGAAGTAGGTCGCGAGTATTTCAATGAATTGCTATCAAGGTCTTTATTCCAACAATTAGGTGACAATAAATCACGCTTCATAATGCATGACCTTATCAGTGAATTAGCACAATTTGCTTCTGGTGAATTTTGCTTCAAGATTGAGGAGGGAATGCCACTTGTTATATCTGAGAGGGTTCGCCACTTTTCGTATGTAATGGATCAGATAGATTCCATTCAAAAATTTGAGACCTTGCATGAGTTGAAGTTTTTGCGGACCTTCCTGCCATTGAGTTTTTCATCAAATCCTGGAGGAGCCCTTTCCTTAAACAAGATGATAATTGAACATCTTCTGCTGACAATGAAGTGCTTGAGGGTGTTGTCTCTGTGCCATTATGAGATCAGTGAGTTGCCTGATACTTTTGACAAATTGAAACAATTACGTTACTTAGACCTTTCTCGCACTAAAATAGAAAAATTACCTCAATCAACATGTTTTTTGTACAACTTACAGACATTGTTGTTGACAAATTGTTTTAACCTTATTGAGTTGCCAGAAAACATGCGGAACCTAAGTAAATTAGCTCATCTTGATGTGAGTGGCACCAAGTTGAAAAAGATGCCTCCTGATTTAGGTAAATTAAAGAACCTTCAGACACTTCCAACTTTTGTTGTGAGTGATGGGTCAAGTATTCATGAATTGAGGGACCTACAAAATCTTCAGGGTAAACTTTCCATTTTCAAGCTGCAGAATGTGAGCGAAGCTGCAGATGCTGAGGCTGCAAAGTTGAAGGATAAGAAGAATATTGAGGAGTTAGTTTTCAGCTGGAATATTGACAGTCTTCATGATCCAGCGAAGAATGGATCTGCTGTTTTGGAAAAGTTGCAGCCACATAAAAATATAGAGATACTCACAATTGATAGATATGGCGGTAAGGAGTTCCCAGATTGGTTAGGAAATTCATCAATATTGACCAATGTGGTGTTCCTACGTCTTACTGGTTGCAAAAATTGCTCTTCTGTGCCTTCACTAGGACAGCTACCATCTCTCAAGAAACTTCACATTGCCAAAATGGAGAGTTTAGCAAAAATTGGTGCTGAATTCTATGGTAATGGCTCCAGTACTTCTATCAGACATTTCAAATCTCTTGAAATTTTGCATTTTGAGGACATGCCAAAGTGGGAGCAATGGTTACCTTCTGCTGTTGAAGATGGAGAATTTCCTTCCCTCCAAGAGCTTCATATACAGAATTGTGGAAAGCTTGCCAAGAATCTACCGAGGTACCTTCCTTCTTTGACATTGTTACATATTGAAGAATGTAAGATTTTAGATTTCCTAGATGATTCAAGACGTTACACGGAGCTCCAGACTCTGCACATCATAGGCTGTGATTCTCTGGAGAGCTTCCCATTAGGCTTCTTCAACAAGGTTGCTTATCTTCAAATCCAGAAGTGCAGCCAACTCAGGTACATAGAAGTTTCAAATGATCTTCACCAGGTCCAGGAGCTCAAATTTCTTGGAGACTTGGAAGTTAGTGATTGCTCCAATCTGAAACACTTTACAGGCGGGTTGCTTGCTCCTAACCTCAAATCTTTTTCAGTCTCAAAATGCAGGAGCCTTGAGTTATTGCCAGTCCTCACTTCTCTTGAAACCTTGGCTCTCTCTGATTGTAGAAACCTTAAGTCGTTTCAAAATGACAGATTACCCCCAAATTTAAGATCACTTTTCATCATGAGTTGTGACCATCTCACTCCGAAAAAGAATTGGGGTCTGAACGAAATGGATTCACTCACTTCTTTGACAATTACAGGTGGATCTAGTGATGTGAAGTCATTTCCAGAAAAGGGGCTACTGCCTGCCTCTCTTATTTCTCTTCAAGTGACTAAGTTTCCAAAGCTCGAAACTTTGGACCTCAGGGAGCTGCAGCTCCTCACTTCTCTTAGAACCCTGGAGATCAACAGCTGCGCTAGCCTCAAAGACTTGTCAGAAGGGACCTTACCCAGCTCTCTTGCTAATTTGATCATCAATGAATGTCCTTTGTTGAAACCAAAATGCCAAGAGAAAGGGGATTATTGGGAAAAGATTAATCACATTCCCAATATTGAAATGTTTTAAATAATGTGATTTATATGTGTATCAGGCCCTTTTCCTTTCTAAAATAAACTGTAAATTATGACATATTTACAGCTGTTCATTGTAAAATTCTGTTTTGAAGTACTTCATTTCAATCCATATGTTGAAATTTATTTAAAGTTTTACGTTCCTGTATTGTCATTACCTTAAATATTGAAAAATGAAAATCGGAAAAGCCTGTAGTGAGATAGTCCATCCTGTGGAGAGTGTGTCTCGAACAACATAAACAAGCAACAAATATACCAAAAATTTTCATCATATAGAAAAATGAGAGATAATAGATCATCAATCAATCAAGAATTTGCACAAGGAACTTGTCCGCCAACATAAGACAAAATACTTGTCAACTATTGTTTAAAATTGTTTCTATCTTTTCTTGTTTCCTGCCAATTAGACTCAGTTACGTTCAATGAAATAAAAAACTTTTTTTATTTGTTGTAGAAATAGTTTTTAGTTCTTGATCTATCCGCCCAAACTTCGGAATTCTCAAAGTTGTATCTCCTTTGTCCTTTACATATTAGTCAAAATAACAATCATACCTTTGTTCATCTCCACTGTAGCTCTTACAGGAAGTGTTTATTGCAGATCATTTCCTCCTGAGATATCCTTCTTTTTGTATCTTCTCATAGAAAGGAGGAGAGCATGGCTGCTGAGTTTTTTCTAAGATCGGGATCATTTCCTTCCGGTTTTTTGCAACAGCTGCTTGACAAGATGGAGCCTCCTGAACTCACTCACTACATCCGTAAACATAAACTCGACGAGGCATGGCTGAAGAAGTTGAAGAAAACAATGTCAACTATCAATGCTGTGATCCATGATGCTGAGAAGAAACAATTCAGAAACCCTGAAGTGAGCGACTGGCTTGCTCAGATTACGGACTTTTGCTATGATATTGAAGATTTACTTGACCAGATTGCCACCCAAGCTTTGCGGAGCAAGTTGGAAGCTGAGTCTCGAGTATGGGACTTGGTATTTACATTTTCACAGGATATAGGAGACCGGATGGATGTTTTAATTGTCAGGCTGGAACAACTTGGGGAGCAAAAAGACAGACTTGGATTAAAAGAAGAATGTATTACAGTAACGAAATCGAATCAGCTGCCATCCTCTAGTTTGGTAGATGATTATCAATCCCAAGTTGTATTTGGTAGGGATGAAGACAAAGAGACTATATTGAAGCTGTTGCTTTCAGGTGAACATGAAACAGTTTACCAGTCAGATGTCATTGCCATTGTGGGAGAAGCTGGAGTTGGTAAGACCACCCTGGCTGAGCTTGTGTACAACGATGAGAGGGTGAAGAAATATTTTGACTGCAAAGCTTGGGTTTGTCTTTCGGAGGTTTTGGATGCGAAAAGATTGACTAAAGCTATTCTGGGGCAACTGACTGATCAAACTTCGGATGTTGAAAACCGAAATTCCCTCCAAGTTAAGTTGAAGGAGAGTCTCAACAAGAAAAAAATTCTACTCATTTTAGATAATGTTCGGTCTAATGAGTATTCTATCTGGGAAATTCTGCGGTTTCTCCTTAATGCTGGGGAGAAAGGCAGTAAGATTATTGTGACTGCACGCAGTTCAGATATTGCAGCATTTATTGGCACTCTTCCTGCTTACCGTTTGAAGCCATTACTATATGAAGATAGCTGGATGCTTTTTGCAAAATATGCATTTGAAAATAAGGAATCCAGTTTATATCCCAAACTAGAAGTGATTGGCAAAGAAATTGTGAAGAAGTGTAATGGTTTGCCTTTAGCAACAAAACTGCTTGGTTGTTTAATGCGTTTAATGCAAACGGTTGAAGAGTGGGACGTTGTGTTGAAGAACAACATGTTTGATTCGTCATCAGACAGGAATGGAATTCTCCAAGCTCTTATGTTGAGCTATTATTATCTTCCTGCACATCTAAAACGATGCTTTGCTTACTGCTCGATCTTTTCAAAGGATTATGAGTATGAAGAGGAGAAGTTAATCCTCTTATGGATGGCAGAAGGCTTTCTGGAACAATCGAGACATGAAAGAATGGAAGAGGTAGGCCATCAGTATTTTCAAGAGTTGACATCAAGGTCTTTCTTTCAACAATCAACTACCATTAGATCTCGCTATACAATGCATGATCTTGTTCATGACTTAGCTCTAATCCTATCTGGAAATTACATATCAAGACTGCCAAATCATGGTCAACTTTCTAGCTTGGTAAATCATGATTACTTTTCCAGATTGGTAGATGTTAAGAATTTGGAATTTGTTTTGAACAAAGTTCGGCATTTGTCATTTTGTGGAGGCAATTTTATTGAAATTGTTGAAGTTTCTAAACCTGAGTTCTTAAGGACCTTCTTACCATATGAATTGCCACCAGAGAATGAATCAAGTCACATAAGTAGTGGGGTACTAGAGATTTTGTTGGATAACCTGTACTGCTTGCGGGTGCTTTCATTGTCTCATTATCCTATAATTGAGTTGCCTGATTCAATTGGTCATGAGTTGGAACTTTTGCGTTACCTTGATCTCTCTCACACTGCGATTAGTAGGTTGCCAGAATCTGTAAACTCTCTCTACAATTTGCAGACATTGATTTTGTCAAATTGTAATTCTCTCATTAAGTTGCCAAGGAACATGGGGAGCCTTGTTAATTTGTGTCATCTCGATATAGTTGGAACTAACTTAACAGAGATGCCGGCAGACATTGGTAGATTAACAAGTCTTCAAAAGTTGTCTAACTTTGTTGTAGGCAAATATGGTGGCTCAAAAATTAAAGATTTGGGGTCCCTTTTAAATCTTCGTGGAACCCTTCATATTTCACAGTTGCAGAACGTGGTTTTTGCTGGAGACGCATCCCTGGCCAGTTTGAAAAACAAGGAGGAACTTGATGTGCTAGAGTTAGAATGGAGTGACACCACAGTTGATCCACAGATTGAAAGAGAGGTGCTTGAACAGCTGCAACCTCATGAATATCTGAAAGAGCTCAGCATTAAGCTTTACAATGGCACGCAACTTCCAGACTGGCTGGGAGATTCGTCTTTCTCAAACATGGTTCTCCTACGTCTTAGCAACTGTAATAACTGCTTGCAATTGCCTCCTCTTGGGCAGCTACCGTCTCTTAAGGAGCTTATTATCAAAGAGATGAAACAAGTAAAAAGGGTCGGTCCAGAATTCTATGGGGCTAATAATTCTTCAGATCTCAGGCCATTTCCATCTTTGGAGACTCTAATTTTTGAGGGAATGTTGGAATGGGAAGAATGGATTTCTACTGAAGTTGAAGGTGGAGAGTTTCCTTGTCTTCAGGAACTTCATATTCGGAAGTGCCCCAAGTTGAAAAAAAGCTTACCCAAGTGCCTTCCTCCTTCAACTAGAGTTTACATTTCAGAATGTCCAGAGCTTGTAGTGACACTTCCAGGACTTCAGGTTGACAGCAACATGGGGCAACTCAGAAGCGATCATGAAGTTGCCTTGCAACATGCCGAGCATAAGACTGATGTTTCAATCACATTGTCTGCCTCTCCCCAAGAAACTTCTAAGCTTTTGATTGAGGATATTTCAAGTTTTAAGCATGAAGGTCCATCACAGATTCTCAGAGCTGAAACTGTTGATAAGATGAACAAAGAGCATGTCCAAGACAATTTGCAAGACATCTATAGTCCTGAAAGGTTGAAAGTTTCAGAAATCTCACAATTAAGGAAATTACCTCCAAATCTGTGTAGCCTCAAAATTGAAGGATGTGAAGCACTAAATATTATACCTGGGGAACTGATGCACAGCAATCCTCATCTCCAACATTTATATATAATCAATTGTTGTTCTCTCAAGTTCTTTCATGGAGGCTATTGGCCCACTGCCTTGAAAACGATTTATATCCGTGACTGTAGGAAATTAGAATTTATCTCCCCTGGAGTGACAATACACCAGTACCCAGTCCTTGAACACTTGTGCATTGGCAGCAGCTGTGATTCTCTGACAGAATTCCCATTATCCTCCTTTCCAAAGCTCAGAAGTCTTGTGGTCTGGGATTGTGCAAATTTGAATTCCATACTAATAACTGAGGATCACAAGTCGCTTGATGCCCTGGAAATCAGGGACTGTCCTAGCCTGGAATATTTCCCAGAAAAAGGACTGCGGAGCCCCAACCTGAAGTCAATTCTGCTTTCTAATTCCAGGAGTCTCAGGAAACTTCCGGAGCAGCTGCAAAGCCTCATATCTCTTCAGTCACTATTTATAAATGAATGTCCAGAACTTATGTCAATTCCTAAAGGAGGTTTTCCTAATAACTTAGGTTCACTTTGCATTATTTCTTGCCCCAAACTCACACCCTGTAAGGAATGGGGATTAAGAAGGCTTGAATATCTTACTCGTTTCGAGATTGAAGGTGTATGTAGATCCTTGGAGTCATTTCCAGAGCAGGAGCTGCTTCCCAGCAACCTCAAGTCTTTGCGGATTAGCAGACTTTTGAATCTCAAGTTCCTGGACTATGAAGGCCTTCAACACTTGACATGTCTCGAAACATTGGAGATCAACTGCTGTGGCAAGCTTCAGTCTTTGCCTGAAGAGGGTCTGCCTTCCTCCTTGACTTTTCTGTGTATCAAAGAGTGCCCTTTGCTGCAATTAAAACTTCAGAATAAGAAAGGGAAACACTGGTACAGGATATCTCATATTCCCCAAATACAAATTGATGAGGAAGTTTTCTCATGAGTAAGTGAGCCTGCATTTTCGGTAAGAAAAGATCATCTATTTATTAACTATCAGAGGAGAGTGATTGAAATATCAATTGACATTAAAGATCTATCTATTGGGATTGTTATTTGTTGATCTGTTCAAAGCTTTCTCCTTGATTGGTACTTTTGTAGATTCGATCGTGGATATTTTACAAGCCCTGATACGGAAAAGGGATGCTTGGAGACCTGATAGGCTCAGAGCTCAATCATTTTCCTATTTTACCACTGGAGCCCAATTGGGTATTGTTTTAGCACTGATACTATCTCTGAAATCTAATAACGAGCGCAATCCTGGAATCTAACTCTGGTCGGTTGTGCAGAGTTTCAAGCTGCGATCAACCATATGTGAATTAGTTTCCAGAATACCATGGCGAAGATTTCCGATTTAGTTCTATGTGGAATCATTTCCCGTGCAAGAGTTGCTTCCTAGTAACCTGAACTCATTACGCATCAGCAGACTTCCAACTCTCAGACTCCTCAATTACAAGGGCATTCAGTACCTCGCATCTCTTACGACTTCGGAGATCAATCGCTGTAACAAGCTTCAGTCCTTACCTGAAGAGGGCCTGCCTTCCTCCTTGACTCTTTTGTATATCAAGTATCAACGACTGTGATTTGCTGAAATCAAAACCTCAAAGGAGGCAAGGGGAAGACTGGTATAAGATAGCTCATATTAGGAATTAGGGGTGTGCAAAATGAAAACGATGACTATAAATTGCAAAAGATTGAACTCTTGCACATTAAACGAAATGGCTCAATCAAGACATTTTAGGAGTGATAACCCTCAATCCAACGGGGCAATATCTGAAGTTAATGATACAATTTACAGCAAAATTTCTCTCGTAGTTAAATATCAGTACAGCTGGTCACATTCAGTTGAGTTCCCATCAAGTTATTTCCAAGAGTTACGAACTGTACATGCAAATAACGACTCCCATCATTCTCCTAATGCATATGCTGCAGCTGAAGCACTGCACAGTTGTTGTCGACAAGCTTTGAATGGTTTGTTGAAGCTTTTGAACCCAAAATAGATGGATTAAAAGGTTTTTTTACACGAATATACCAAGTTTCCTTTTCCCATAACTGCGCAGTTCAAATTTGCTTTGCTGGCTGTCCAGTTGAACCTGAAGTTTCTGCAAAATTGCAGAAAAGTTAAAATGCTAACAGGCACGCTGTTAATTTAGACTACTCCGACTTAGTATCCTCCTTTACATCACTTTCAAGTGGCTTGCTATTCCCATCAGTGGATGGAACTTGAGTATCTGTTTTGCTATCTAACTGGTTATCATGAGACGTCTCTCCATTTTCAAGGCCATTTATGTCAGTAGGGCCCTCCGACTGGCTAACAGGTGGCGTACCATCCATAGAACCATTTGCAGATGCTGGAATATCAGTATCCATGTCATCGTCCATTGCCACTGAATTTGGCTGGTTACTCTGCTCACCTGACGTATCCATTGATCCAGAATAAGCCATGTGCTGATGATATTCATAGCTAGCAACGGTTGCCTGTCAACAAGAAACTTAGAATCATGGATGGAAACTTTGAGTAACTTAAATTCTTGTAACCAACAACAGATTCACATTTCAAATATCTCAGTAGTTCTCAACGTTCATAAGTAACTAGAGACAACTGGAGAACTTGTAGATACACTAAGATAACATATGAAAGCAGAAATATATCTGCCTCCTTTAGGGTAACTAAATCCTATTTGGAGTTATGGATAGAGAAAGAGAATGTCTGAAGTCGTCAGCCCATCCATCCATGCCAAGTGGACCTTAGATTGAGGCCCTACCAACCTCCCAAGGATTGGAGGTACTGTGGCAGAGAATCTTGTTTAGAGAACTTTATAACAATACATCTAAAATCAAAGTCTCCTATGAAGCTACTTATTATTCTGTTACTTCAAGTTTGTTAATCCAACACAAATTATGAAAATAAATCACTGAAGTTCAAAAATTCTAGAACCATAATTCTGTAGAGAAACTAGAATGTAACAATCAATTAATAATGGTATGCATTTGATCAGTGTCTGAGTTCATCAATGTGAAAGTCCAACAGTGAAAAGCAAATATCTAAAAGCAGCTTCATATTTTGTATTAACCAACATTAGCAGACTCAAAGCTGTAATGCATTTACTGGACCTAGAAAAAGCATGATTACCATGCAATACTAACAATTATTTAAGGCTCGAGTATTTCCAACTCGAAAGCAAGCAAAAAGCAATGCAATGCTTCAAAATCAAGCATCAACCATGCAGAATACCACAAATATATAAATCATATCAAGAAGAGAGCTACCTGATATAATTGATTGACAATATCACCCATATGCTCAATGCCACTAACTAGATAAGGATCTCCAATGTCTTCAACATTACGTTCAGTATATGATGTAGTCTCCTTCACATTGAGTGAAAGTCTATCAGGTCTCTGAAGCAGAAGCTGAAATGTAGGCTGCAGTTCATAGCATTGCTCAAACAGAGAACGTCGACAAAACACATACAGACCAAGCCGAGCACGAGACATCGCAACAACCAATCTTCTAGCATCACGAAGGTGACCCACAAAGCGAGTACGCACGAGAGACAACAATACAAAATCATTTTGCTGACCTTGAAACTTATCAACCGTTGTGACCTGAGCCAAAACATGAAGGGAAGCAGTTATATATAAGCACAACTATAAAGCATCAATCTACTAAAACTAGAGGAATGAGTATAAAAAAATGATTGCACATTGCCATGACAAATGAAACAAAGCCCTAAGTCATTAAGAAACCATATGAAGGATCCAGCTTTTATAACTGGATCAGAGGAAATAAAAGAACCTCACATCCATACCAAGAGAACAACCAACAGCTCATTCTAATTGTTCAAAAATATGGTCATCAAACAAAATTTTATGTGCACAGAGGAGATCTCATAAGGCCTCCACTGGCTAACAATAAATACATGACATTCAAACTATTGAACTGCTTCCTTAGAAATTAATGTCAAACTAATTCTAATGTGAAAAGGAATATACTTAAAAAATTACCTTACTGGGCGGACCAATAAAGGGATATGGAACACATCGCCTGTTGATAACATCACGAATCAGAAGCTTCTGGCCATTGTAAGTTGTCAAGATGGATATCTTATTTGCAGGATAACCTAAAAGCCGCATATATATATAAACACTGACAACATATTCAGCCTCTCCCTCATTTTGATAGAACCAAGGAGAAGGGGCACTCTCACCTCTCCCATGATAATCAGGAACATCCACCAATTGATAATCATAGGAGAATCCAGCATTTGCTTTATGGAAGATTGCATCCTCCTTCACATAAGGAAGGTCTCCCAGATCTCTGTACCTCCAGTTGTATAGTTTGGCTATGCTCGGTCTAGCTCTACCCTGAGCATTGAGCTCTATATAAGGAATACCAAGACGAACAAACCTTGTGAATAAGCTCTGATCCATGTGACTATACTTTTGGAAAGCCATATTCTTAACAACAGGAGGCAGTTGATGATGATCACCAATCAGTATGCAGCGTTTAAGACGTGCATAACCATCCTCCTGTCTCTGGAGCAACATTGGGATGAAAGTTTCAATCTCCAAAATTTGGGCACTTTCTTCCATCAAAAGATTGTCATACTTAAAACCTAATTGAAGAAAATCCTTCCTCTTAAGAGCTGCATGAGTGCAAGTCATCGCAACAATCTTTGCCTGCTTTATCATTAGATAATTTGCTCGATCAGCAGTTGACTTGAGCAGTTCAAATGCCCTGCACTCTTCAAGCTCTTGGAAAATAGTCTTAAGATGACGAAAACACCCCTTAGCCGCCCGCATGTCTCTCCCAAATGACTGACCTGTAAAAACTGGCTGAGGGGTGTTGGAGAAGAACTCCTTGAAGGGGAAGCGTTCTTGTACAAATGTTGGTTTGCCTTCATTATCTGCACAAGCAGCCAGGAATTGCTCCCAGCGTGAGTACACATGAAGCAACCAAAAATATCCTGCAGTTTCACAAGTATACCCCACATCCTCCGGCAATTGAAGAGATCTTGCAAGCCTCTCAACCTCACTCAACAACTCCAACCGTCTAACAAGCATCGCATTAACTCGGCCTTGCCGGCTGAAGTCAAGATCAGTTGCTAGCTCTTGTTCACCTTGACCTAAACGTAGAAGATAGCGAGCAGGTACATCCCTCTGACAAAGCAAAACACAACATGCATTAGCAACTTACTCGAGGAATTAAGTGTCCCACGGTCACTTCCACAATACAGAAGGCAGGACTAAGAGTGAGTCCTTTCTATGTGTTTAAATCTTAAAAGTAGATCAAAAGTACCTCCATTATCTTCTCAAAAAGGTCATTTAAAGCCTGATTTGAATGAGTGATTATTAATGTTCTTTGAGAAGGACAATTGTGATAGAGAACATTCAAGATTTGCACAGCTGTATCAGTCTTTCCCGTACCAGGTGGACCCACAACCATTGTTAGTCCAGGTTGAATGCCAGATGTTATTGCCCCAATCTGAACAAAAAGAAAAAGAAGTGTCCAGTCACAGAGAAATAACACAGACAGCAGCCTTTATTTTTATTAATAAGCTGTAACTTTCAATATAGATCAACATCAAATCCCTCTCAACAAAGATATCCGAGCCACAGATAATTAACCAAAATCAGTGTTGAGAAGAAACCAAAAACATCACTCCTTGCTCTAATAAAGTAGAGTCAAAAGTCTACAGCCATGAAACTCCATTGAAAAACTTCTGATGTTTCAAACCTTGACTTTTGCAAAGAAAACAGGTTCAATCTAGACAAATGTCTTTACTTGTAAAGATAAATCAGCAAGGCATCACTTTGACGCACCCTCCATTTCAAAATAAGCATAAAAAATTAGACAATACATGTCTCAAGATAACAAGAAGAATAATCAAAAAACACTATCATTTCCTTGAGTAAATAAAGACTAGGAAGTCCAAGGATAGA